TACAGTCGTTGTCAGCACCTATGCTAGATAACTAGTCATGGTGGCCACGTTTGCTGAAATTTATCATTCCCCCATGGAAGATTTTGGGAGAATAGAGATTCATCACATGAGCTAAAGATAGCTCCTCTCATGTCTCTTGGCACAAGCGTCGAAGACAAGCAATCCATACAGAAGGACTTACTTAAGCCAAACACACCTGGTAGCTGAGAAAGAACTCCGCAATAACAGAGTCAAGCTCACCACTCAAAAAGAACGCACCTAAAGTAAAGGGATACGTGTAAAAATATGTAAAACCCTCCTAGGGAAGGGTCGCTCGCTCTGTTAGATCAGGAGCAACAATGTCCAAATTATGGCATCGACAGTCTTCCTTCACAATAGGAATACTGGAAGGACGAATGGAAGAAGGGTATCTGCCAACAGCCCACGTGCGAGGGAGAGCCGAAAGAAATTTCTCTTTGAAGTCTTTTATTGTAAATAGACTTTTAGGAATGATAGAATCCACCGTTGGCGGAGCAGCGTCTTCAGCTTTGCTCTTGCCCTTTGAAGAGCTAAAATTCTTTGAAGAAGAAGCCATTTGGATGAAAGAAAAGTTTTTCCGTTTGAAGGGAGTTGCAGAAAGGTTAATTAGCAACAAGGAAGATTTTAGAAAGTTTGGAAAGTTATGGAGTATAAGGGGAGAAGGTTGATGCGTATAAGTAAAAGTTTAACGGCTAAATTCGTGGCCATGATTACCTCGATAATCAGAAAAAGCTACGATAAATCGTGGGATGACGCGTGTTCGGGGCATTAAATGCGTAGAGACGTTAATCAACCGTCAGAAGCCTTCAGAAAGAATCATAGTAATTCCAGCTAAAAGAGTGTTTTTACCAACTCCCGGTAATACAAAGCTATGTCACCGGAAAGCAGGGGGACTATCTATATAGGGTAAAAGAATGATAGGTGGAACCGAGGGCAATTATCTCGTTTGGCACTGTGGGGAATGAGACACATAAAGAGGCAATAAATACCATCTGCTTGGTTGCATTAATGAAGAATATTTCATCGCATAAAGTGCACTGCCCGTTACAAGAAATTTGTCATTTATGCTCACTGTTATGTCTTCATCAATGACCCTTATAATTGACATTAAAGAAGAGCACGATTCTAGGACCTTGTTCCCTAGACGTAACTATAAATAGTGAGCTCTGTTATCATTGTAAGTACACGAATTTTCTGGCAAACTAACACTACAATCTATTAAAAGCTTCATACAATTTTATCTTCTTATATTCTGTTCTTATTACTGTTGCGCCCGGAGGCTTCACTGCCGGAATTTTTATTTCTGTCATTTCGTCTTCATATCAAGGCTAAGTATTATATATTTCTTCAATTATCTTATTATTTCAGGATCAAATTAATTCACTTGTCTAGAAACCACATATAAATTCAACTGTACAGTTTTACGGGTAAACAAATTACATGTGGTTCTTTAGCTCGTCCATTTTTTAATTTACGAAGCAAGTGAACTGCAAATACTAGAATAATCCACCATACCATACAGATCCAAGTCAGAGTTAGTTATACACTTACCTAAAACATGTTACTTAGCATGTCGGATTATGTTAGCAATTGGTCTACCTACTGTAATAGAAATACGTCAGACACTAGGTATGAAAACTCAATCATTTAATTCCTCGAACTTATTCCAATAGTAGTGAAACAGACTAAGGAAATTAATTGAACAAAGCGAGATACTACATGACATCGGTTTACTACTCTTATGATGGCAGTGGCCAGTCAAGTTAAGTGCTTCTCGAATATTTTACTCTTAAGCATAGATTGATGGGAAAATGTCAGTTTTTGTCTCTGCCGGAACACCCTAATTTTCCATAATCTTCACGTAGAAGTTTTGTTGTTCTTTTGCCAATGAATAGATTAATTTGCCAACAGAGAATGAGGCCGGAACAGGTGGAATGCCATGATTATTATATTCCTAGTAAGTTATCTTCTAAAGTAGTTCTGATAAATTGATGATTAAATGAACTCTCATTGTCACCAACAACCCAAGGTGAGGGAGGAAAGGGGAGGAGGGAGGAGTTGATGCATCAAAAATCATTAACTAAGATTCTTAATCAATAATTAATGTAAGGGTCAAAGAAGTATAGGTAAATGAATAATGGTTAGCTTTATGTTAGTGGAAAGTAAAGGCTACGGAAACTTTTGTTCTTATACACCAACAATTGAATCGAATGTCCATTGTCTATACTTGCGGTTTCCTCCTCATTTCAAATGTTTGTCTGACAGATGACCTTTTGCATCCCTTTCTTTCCAAGGCACGACACCTTTCTGCAATTGCAATTTTCCCATCTTCTAAAACCGGCACTCCAAATATGGTTTTAACTAAATATTTACTAGTTACAATAATAGATTCGTCATGGACTATCTTGAATTTTTTATAAATGTTGTTATTCATATGGCTACTTATAAAAAGTTATGTAATATTACGAGGGGCAGGACTATAATATTAGCTACAGGATCAGACGGATTTAGTAACTTTAGCTTAAACCTTGTATATGTATCAGAAAATCTTTTAAATATGTATAAATATATAATTAAATAGAATATAGGTTATTATTGTAAAATTGTGTAAAATAGCTTTAAAATACAAATATATTTACAAAAAATAAATAAAAATATTATGAAGCATATATGTGGATGCAAATAATAGATTTAGATGATTAAGTCATCACAAAATAATTTGAAAGCGTAGTTATTAAATATTTGAACAATTTAATGCAAGAAAATCAACTCTGAAGCCTCAAAAATTATGAAAAATTACAGAAAAAATTTATATGACTCTTGTAAATTGGTGATGATGCAAAAAAGATATTTTGAAAGCATATAGGACATTTATAAAAACATGAGGGCAAAATTGGGTATCAATAACTGTCTCTCTTTACCCGAAAATGATGAAAGAGTTGTCGGGTAAAGAAAATGATGACCAATTTTGTCCGAAGTGAGTGGGGAATGATGTGTTTTGAAAAAAAAATAGGGACAGAACCCTGGTTCTTGAGTTGCCTACATATCCTTAGTGTTACAGGAATCAGGCCGTGTGTAGTTCTGGATCAAACAACGAACAGTTGTTATACGAGTGGTCGTGTATTTCGAAAAGGATCTTTTGGATATGATAGTGTTGTGAGTAACAGATGATTTCAGGTGGAGCTATGAATTCGAATTTGAACGTTACAGATGTATAAGGCGGATATTTGAACGGTTATAGAACAACAGGTAATCCAATAGCTGATCATTGGTTACGTTTGAGGTGATCGAAGGATGTGAACGTTGTGAATGGAAACCGGAGCAAGAATTGCTCCTGTTCATAGAACGATTACCTCCCGAGTTACCCGCAAAACATAAAACACGATGCACACGAGTATATATGGGGTTATTGCGGACTAAACATGATGCAAATTCACTTCGGACCATGAGAGTTGTCTTTGGACGATATGATGTCCTTAGACCATGACATCCTAGGCCATGAAGCGTATGATAAGGGATCCGCAGGCCATGAAATGGCATCCTTGGGCTATGAGGATGATGCCTTTGGACTATGACGCATTTGAATAATGATGTGAAGTTTCGAGGGATACTCTGGCCATGGAATGGTGTCTTCAAGCTATGAGGATGGTGCCTTCGGACTATGATGCCTTTGGACAATGTGGCGATATTTCAGCCCATAATCTCCAAGTATGTGGTAATATCGATCTTTTGATGGAGGAAACATGTAATGCTTAGTCATATACGAGACGAGACGAGACGAGACAATGATTAGTCTTGTAGGAAATGAGGGCAGTGCTTAGCCCGATGCAAAGAGTGAAGATAATGCTTAGTCTCATGCAAGCAAAACGAGTGCTTAGCCTTTTTCAATGGTGAGGCATTGCTTAGGCTTGTGCGGTATGGAGGCAGTGCTTTGCCTCATGCAGAGAAGACGGTGCATAGTTGCTTGCAAATAAAGGCAGCGCATAGCCTTATGCAATAATGGAGGCAGTGCTTAGCCTCATGCAAGGAATGGAGGCAGTGTTTAGTCTCATACAATGAAAGGCAATGCTTAGCCTTATGCAATGATGGAGGATGTACTTAGCCTCATGCAAGGAAAGGCAATGCTTAGCCTTATACAATAATAGAGGCGGTGCTTAGCCTCTTGCAAGGAATGGAGACAGTGCTTAGTCTCATGCAAAGAAAGGTAATTCTTAGCCTTGTGCAATAGTGAGGGCAGTGTTTAGCCCTATGCAGGAAGAGCACCAATTAAATATGAGGGGGAAAAGTAATTCTTAGCGTGGCAAGTTTGTGCTTGGCGACTTCTGTCGATGTGAAGATAGTGAACTTGTTGTATGTATATATTTGCGGGCATTCTTGTTATGTCCATTGTGCCTGCATCCAAAGAAAAATCATGAGTTTTGGAGGCGGGAGGTTGGTTCGTGCTCTCGATTCCTTGCCTTGCCATCGCTCCTGTCCTGAGGTCTTATTTGACTCACCCCGAGTAACGTCTAGCTACTACGAAAATGAATTTTCGAAAAACATGCATTTGTGATAAATCATTTTTATAAAAATGTAGTTGTTCAAAAATATGTGATAATGCATGAAAGCAAATAACTTTGTCGAATCGGTGATTGTGACATGCTTTTGAGACATTGCAACGTCCTTAACTTGGAATTTTGTAGACCCCCTTCAAAATTAAGCCCCAGTTTAAATGCATGCTTCTAGCGATACATTCCTTGGTGATTCTAGATACGATGAGATCGAGCAAACTCGAGATCTTGCCCCAGTTTCTAACCATAGGGGGAACGAAGTTTTTATTATGATGTGACCGATCCCCCAAGGCTTATGTATCCCCTTTTAAACGGGAATCAAGTCAAGCGTAGTTCAAGTTACATCAAATAGAAAGTGCAAATATAGTCTTAAACATAATATCTCTTGACTGCGTCCGAATTGATAAGTTTTGGCCAAATCGCTTCATCCATCTATGCAAGTATAAGTGCTCCTCCGGTTAGTACTCGGTGAACCATGTAAGGGCCTTTCCAGTTGGGTGAGAATTTCCCCTTTGCTTCATCTTGATGTGGGAAGATTCGTTTCAGCACCAATTGCTCTTGTGTGAATTGCCTTGACCTAACGTTTTTATTGAAAGCTCTTGCCATTCTATTCTGGTAGAGTTGGTCGCGACACACTACGTTCATTCTTTTACCATCAATCAGAGCTAGTTGTTCATACCAGTTCCGTACCCATTCCACATCGCTGAGCTCGGCTTCTTGTATAATTCTTAAGCAAGGGATCTCCACTTCGATAGGGATAATAGCTTCGGTACCATAGACCAATAGATAAGGAGTTGCCCCAGTTGATGTACGAACTGTGCTGCAGTATTCGAACAGAGCAAACAGTATCTTCTCGTGCCATTGTTCATAATTGTCCACCATTTTCCTTAATATCTTCTTGATGTTCTTGTTGGCGGCTTCTACGACTCCATTCATTTACGGTCTGTATGCTGTAGAGTTTCGATGCTTGATCTTGAATGTTTCACACATGGCTTTCATCAGATCACTGTTGAGATTGGTGGCATTGTCAGTAATGATTGACTCGGGTACTCCAAATCGACAAACAATGCGGTCCCGGACAAAATCTGATGCGACCTTCTTTGATACAGCCTTATAGAATGCGGCTTCAACCCATTTTATGAAGTAATCTATAGCCACCAAAATGAACCTGTGTCCGTTTAAAGCAGCGGGTTCAATTGGTTCGATGACATCCATTCCCCAAGAAGAGAAAGGCCAGGGTGAACTCGTTGCATTGAGTTCGTTGGGCGGAAATTGTATCATATCAATCATGTATCTGGCATTGGTGAAACTTTTGAACATATTTGATACAGTCTATTTGCATAATCATCCAGAAATACCCTACTCTTAATATCTTCTTGGCCTAAAGAAACCTTTCATGTGAGGTCCGCAAGTTCCGGCATGTATTTCTTCGAGCGATATATTTGCCTCCTTGGCATCGACACATCGCAACAATCCCAAATTAGGAGTCCTTCTATTTGGCCACACTTCGAAACATGCACTTCTGTGTGTGTAGTGTTTTTTGGGTATTCTCCCTATTCCAAGTATTCCTTGATGTCGTGGAACCATGGGTTTTCGTCGAACTCTTCTTTAACATGAGCACAATAGGATGGCTGCTTACGTATTCCTATTGGGATAGGATCAATGAAATTCTTGCCTAGATGTTGTATCATGGAAGATAAGGTAGCTAGTGTATCTGCGAACTTATTCTGAATCTGTGTAACATGTTTGAATTCTATCTTTGTGAACCTCTTGATCAACTCTTGTACACAATGCAAGTATGATATTTTAGTGTTCTTAGTAGCCCATTCTCCTACTACCTAGTGTACCAATAGATCAGAATCTTCGATTACCAGCAACTCCTGAGTGTTCATGTCGATTTCCAACCTGAGTCTCAAGATGCAGGTCTCATATTCTGCCATATTATTAGTGCACGGGAACATGAGTTTTGTGGATACCGGGTAAAGTTGACCGGTTTCTGATACTAAGACAACTCCAATGCCCACTCCCTTGAAGTTTGCTGCTCCGTCGAAGAACATCCTCCAACCGTTGTATGCCTTAGTAATATCTTCACCTATAAAAAATACCTCCTCGTCGGGAATTACGTCTTCAATGGTTCGTATTCTTTGTCAATGGGATTCTCCACCAAGTGATCAGCCAACGCTTGCCCCTTGAATGCCTTCTGAGTCACAAAGATATTGTCGTACTGACTTAGCAATATCTGCCACTTTGGTAACTTACCTGTAGGCATTGGTTTTTGTCAGATGTATTTTAGTGGATCCATCCTTGATATGAGATATGTAGTGTATGCATATAAATAATATCTCAGCTTCTGAGCTATTGATGACGTCCAAATCCACTACTAAAAAGTAAATGGACACGATCACATGCAATATAATTTACCCAACCATGAGTCGGGGTCGAATCCCACAGAGAACAATATGTAAGTAATTAGGCGTGTAAGAGAATTACCACTTATTATGCTAAGCCAAACACTTAGAAAGTATTTCACAATTTTACACATATGAGCGAGTTTATGTTAATTAGCATCGGGTAATAGTTTTATAATAGCTTCTTGCAAATACTAACAAGACTTCCTAATTGATTTATCCCTCAAATAATTAAGAGATTAAGCACACCCGAATATGGTTACAAGTAGTTCAATCCTATCCCTAGGTAGAATCTATACAGTGAGGGTTAAAGCCTCAAGTTGTTGTTAATTAATCTTTTACGACCCCAAATTATTTTTCCCAAAATTAATTCGAAGTAAATGAGCGAGTCCTAGGGTTAGCTAATCCCTTTGGAAACATTAAAGAACAAGAATAATTAAAGAAACAATAACTCACTTCAATATAACTAAAAATCATTCAGTACATAAGCACAACAAGACATTTAATCCACATTTTAAATATGAATATTCACATAAACAAGATTCAAGTGTTGGTAAAATACTACACACTTAGATATACAATACAAAGCAAGAAAATGAAGAAATGAACATAAATGGGTAAGAAATTCTCAACCAAAACCTTCAAATTTTCAAGACCCAAGTGTGTGTGCAAGAAACCTAGCTTCTAAACTTGTCTTCTCTAGTCCAAAGACTGAAAAATAAGCCAAAGATATTTTTACAAATGAGCTAGGTCGTGTATTAAATGGTTTGGGGTCAAAAACGTGAAATTCCAGAACTGCCCAGATTTCTGCCCAGATTTGTGAATCGCGTTCGCGAAAACAGGCCTGTGATCGCGAAGAGTAATATTGTAAAGCATTGCGATCACAGACCAGATTACGCGTTCGCATAAAGAACTTGAGACTAGTTGACCAGCCTCTTCTTCGCGTTCACAGAATTTGCCATGCGTTCGCGATCTATTGTTTCCTGGCCTTCTGTGATCGCATGTCAATGTTCGCGATCGCGAAGAGCATTATCTGGCAGCAATCATTTTTCCTCAGTTTAACACGTTTGGATTTGGTTTCTTCCGTATCTGCTCTAAATCACTTGATACCTTATATATGTGAATAAACCTCAATAAATGCGTTAGTTTCTCAATAAAGTCATACAAAAGCCTAAGTATCAAGAAGAGATAAGTTGATAAAATACCAACTTATCAAACCCCCAACTTAAACTATTGCTTATCTTCAAGCAATCCAAAAACTAAGAGCATCTTTCAATAAAATCATCAATTAAGCTCAATGGCATACCAAACATCATTTCAAGTAAAAAAGGTTCAAATTAAACACAATCTAGTGACTTTGCTTCGTACCAACAATTAATCCAAAGCATATGAATCACCAACTTCTCACAAATTTCATTTCAATTCAAGTGCTCAAACACCAAACTAATCAAAGTAGCAACCAAATCATAATACTAAAGCTTCAAAATTTGCCTCATTGTCACAAACAATTTTCTTTTGTTCATTCCTCCCAATTGGAGTTTGGATTAAGTTCACAACTCAAAATTACATGTACCCTCAAACTTAAGAGAGAATCCCAACTTACAAATTGCAATTTAAGCACAAATGGGATATCAAATGGAAAAAAATAATTCTCACTCTCACAAAGATATTCAAATGCACAAAAGTAGCACCATAGGCTTGCCCTTCATGTATTTCTCCACTAATGTAGCCACACTTGGTTCAAAATCTAGTAGGACTTAAGGATTGTAATGTAGGTTTTTGGTTAAGGTAGGGCACAATTTGGATAAGAGTGACTCAAAACCTCCCTAAGTACTACAATTTGCAATAATTAAAGCACACTTTTCATCATATCTCTTTTCATCATTTCTTCACTTTTCATTCCACACCTAATCTTCCCTTTAGTCACAACTCCTTATTTTTCCTTCCTTTTTTCTTCTTTCTTACTCATCATTTTTTAAAATCAAGGAAGGTTTCACACACACACACACACACACACACACACACACACACACACACACACACACACACACACACACACACACATATATATATATATATATATATATATATATATATATATATATATATATATATAATTACCTTTCACCTTTTAAGCAACTTCCACATCACAATATTTTCAACCTTCACCCCTAAACTTAGGCTTTTAGCCTATGTTTACACTTTAAAGTACTTAGGGAGATAGGGTGCCAAAAGCTAGATCAATAAAGACAAAGGGCTAAAGCTTGTAACATGGTTGCCAAAGAAAAAGTTTAAAGGCTCAAAAGGGGCTGATAAGAAAATGCGAGGGTAGAAAATTTAAGGCACAATACCGGTCCAAATAATGCAAAAGAATTCACAACAAATCTCAGCACACATGGCACATGCAAACTCGAGTGACATGTAAATCCAAAATCCAATTAAAACCAATGAACCCAAAGAAAATCATATATAGCTTAAGAAACTATTTAATGAATCAAAGAGCCAAAAATTTAACCTAAAAGTCACAACAAGGATTATCACTTCAATCATTTTTCATTATAAAGATCAAAACTTCATATGCCAAAGTTTAAAATATGTTGGTACCAAACAAGCCACACGTTGGTTTATGGACAAAAGATCACACCCAATAACCAATTTATTCACAACTAGCTACTAAACTAACTAAAAAAAATATTTACTTAAAAAATGAGAAAAAAAAACTAAACAAGACTAATCCCTTAAGAAAATTGTCACGCCATCCATCATAAGAAAAAGTCAGCGGTTCAACACAAATTAATTCCTGGGAAAAGAACCGCAGTATAAAGAAAATTGAGGAGTTTCATTAATACTACTATAAAAATAAAATGAATAAGAAAATGCTAATGCTAACATGGTAGAACTAAACTACAAAATATTACTAATAAACTACAAATGTCAACTAATCTACACAAGTTCACAAAAAATGGTCATGCTCCACATACATACATCATATATAAAAGAGTCACCCCAACCTAAAGTGTTGCATTGTCCTCAGTGAAACAAAACAAAACAAGCTAAACTGAAAGAGGTGCTCCCTGAATTGCATCACTCTGAGCTGGAGGTACTGGGAACTGAGAGCTCCAAGTCATCCTCGTCGCCGTCATCTGATCCACAAAACTTCCTCAAGGTGCTCATCATCTTTGTCAAGAACTTACTTTTCTTCTTTTCATGTTCTCTCTGCTTCAACTGCCTCCGTTCTATCTTGCCCAATTTGGCTTCAATGGCTTGCTGCTCCTTAGCCAGATCTGAAAAAGTTGGAACCTTTCCTTGGCCAACTGGACCTGGAGATGTGCTCTCTCCAGACGGTGCAGAAGGGAGACCGGCTACAAGCTGGCGGATCTGTGTCTCCATGCCATAGACCTAGCGAGAGATATACCTGAACGTCCCTGCTCAAGTGGTACAATGTTTACCCTAAAAATTGGATAACAATTAAAC